TGGAACGCGTTTGCGTCTGCGCACCCAACAGTGCCCACACGTACGTTCGAATCGAGTCATTCAAGCGTTCGGTGCCGGCACGAGTATACCCTTTCGATTCCAACATGAATTTTTCCAGTCACCACCCTGCTCGAACCTCCAAACTCGGTAATCCTTGCTGTCGTCGAATGCCATGTAACGGTCATCCCACTCGTTGGTTGTGATATGATATGACTTGTATCCCCAATCTTGCAACTTCTCGCTGGCTTCCACGAGAGGCATGTTGTGAACGATAGGAATACCCAATCCGTGGTTCGGTCCCGGCAAACGCCAATCCGTTTTAGTGTCGATTCCGAATTCGTTGCAAATACGTTCGTAGGCCCGTCTATCGTATTGGTTGTTTACTGCATTCCACGCTTTTTCTTGTGAGAGTGGGGCGCTGATCTCTTTGAGGATACGCCTGACCTGGTAGTACACGTGAAACGTGAACACAGACTGACTCAGCGGTCCACGCCGAGTGTCGGATACACCACACCCCGTTGTAGCGCACCACACGGCGAAGTTGAGTTGATTCTGCCAGAACTGCATCGGGTTGTTGAACCAAGCGTGCACTGTCTTAACGTTAGTCACCGAAAACTTATACTTATCGAACACATCTATGAACTGGGCGTCGAAATACAATCCATCAGCGACCACGATCTTCATGTTTTAAAACTATTATATAATGAGTTTATATAACATGTACATAACACTCCCAGGAATAACGAGCGGCGAGGCCGTTCAGCTGACGCACGCGATCGATAACACGTCGGGTCAACTCGAAGTAGCACTGTGCGATATAACCTACCTACCACGATGGACTAACATCAACGCTAGCAACAATAAACTGTTCGTAGGTGGCGCTAGCAACAAGATAATTGATGGTTACTACAGCGTGTGCTCTCTAAGCGACGAGGTATTCAAACCACTGGGAGCCGAACTCAAGATGAACGACTCAAACGGCACAGTGGTGTTAATCAACAACGGAAGAAACTCCTTGCGGCTAGGCCGGCCATTGGCTAGAACACTCGGTATGCAGCCTGACGAGGTAAAACCAACGACTACCGTCACAGGCACGAAGTTACCCGACCTAGTACCGTACCGAGAGCTGTGCATTCATCTCAACCAGGTTAGCACAACGGACAATATTCAAGGAGGCCACCCTTCCACTATACTTAGAGCAGTGCCGGTTAAAACGGAGAAATACAACGACGGCAGAACCGAGTCGTTTTCAACGTGGCAATATAAGAGGTTAACCCAGGGCAACATCCCTGAGCTGATAATATCGGTGTTAGATATAAATCATAATCTCGTGAATATAGGATACCTCAGCGTAACGCTGCACATAAAATGACCAGCGCACAAGGTCCCGGAATGAAGTTGAAAAAATGCACCAATGTGGGGATCTCCGATCTCGGGGACACACGCGGATTCGACGACCCCGGAGTAGATGGTAAAGTGTACGCCTTGCAACTTAAAAACAGCATTTATAAACGCGTTGAAGTTTCCGGTGGTACTAGCAACCTAAGCGATATAGTAGATACCTCAAGAGCGGCAGTCAACACTAAGTACACCCTTGTCACCACCGGGGATGATAACTGGATGATATACCCATACGGGGGCAAACTGTTCGACTTAACCGATGTTGAGAGCACTACCGTCGCCCGAAACAAACCATATACGCTCGTTTTCACCGATGATGACAAGTGGGTGTTATTACCGGGTAAAGTCGACTGGTTTCTCAATATTAGGCTCGGCTCCCCCCTACGTGTTCACGGATAATAAAGACAACCACCTAAACAAAGTCGTGAACAACGGAACCCTGCTCGTGGCTTACATCCCGACTCAGAGACGTAGCGTAGTCATCAGCCCACTCGCCAGTATGGCAGCCCACATGCTATCGAGTAAAGCGGGGATGCAAAACGTGGTATTGCAGTTGGTGTCTGAATTCGAAGGTGTGGTCAGGATCCTGGAGAGTCTACCGGCGAACTCAACACTGATCATCCAAGTCTACCTAGGGGAACCATCGCGGGATAATGTAGAGATCGTGAAGGGGGTCAAACTCCGGTGGGGGAAACAACAACAGTATCACGTTTGCAACGTTTACGTGCGGGTGGGTGTCGACTCCAAAACCAGTCTGCAGGGTGTCACCGTGGTCGTGGAAGACACTATATCACTAACCAAGATCTTCCTACCCGACAACATACACTTCATGGGGGTGAAGTGCACCCCCTGAATTATTATCAGAAAACCAGTTGGAAATTATATCGTAATAATATAGCAATGTCTTGGATTCACCCCAACACTACGATTAACGACTTAGGGGACACGGAGGGATTCGATCAACCTGGTGAGGAAGACACCTTATACATCCTGCACTTCAAAGACAACGTGTATAGGCGGGTGTCGTTATCGGATTTTAAAGAACCTGAATGGTTAATCAACTTAACCCTCACCGCACCTTATATCACCTTGAGACAAGATGGTACTGTCTCCGAGATTAAGAACAACGGCATAATTATAGGAGCGTTCGTTCCGCACCGCCACAAGATATTAGCAGCAGGAGAGTTAGTTTCTGAATCTCATAATATATATATCGCACCAATACCAAACCACTCGGGCAACATGGTAACTTCCAAGGAGAAAGTGAAGACATCAATCAAATTACTTGATCACCAAGAGGTCTTTAGAAATGTAGCGGAAAACTTCACATTCATAATAGAAGTCTATCTCGGAGATGCCTCGTTTCCTGGGACTCGTAACATTATAGATGATATGTTGATACGGTGGGAAGACAGGGCTAGTAACCAACGTTGTCTTATTATTAAGGTATCGGGAAATGACCCTGTACCAAGTCTTGATGGGGTTCGTCTCTTTAATGGACGTAGAGCTAAGACCCCGCTTTTTTACACGCACGCTGATCTAAGTATTATCGGCTTTAAGTACATTAATCGAAGGTTAAATAAAACCCAATTAAAATACATTACGGGATTGAACTATATCCCTGAACTAGTACCAGAACACTAGTTGGAAACTAGATCGGTTATTAACTGAAGCCCAATTAAATTATCTTTAGTAATATATATTATAGGATGGGACTGTACCCAGTCGTAGAGGAAGTAGCGAAGACCCTGGAAACCGTAGACGGGTTCCGCTTGAGGCAATTATGTGATGTAAGACGTCAACTAGAACAAGATCGGGATAAGCGGAAAGCATTATATAAGAAATACCATAGGGTTTTCAATGTCGTGGACGGGGTTGATACCACCCTTATGACAACCAGCATGGGACTAGGGGCGGCAGGTGTTGGGTTATTAACCACCATCGTAGCTTCACCCATAGTGCTGGGTATTGAAATAACGGCTGGGGTAACAGGGGTGTTAGGGCTGATACTTAAATACGCATCACGCAGACTACATCGTAAGGCATTGAAGCATGATGAGATCCGGGTTCTAGCCGAAGCGAAGTTAAACACGGTGAGTGAGCGTATTTCAGCGGCACTCGCTGATAGTAAGATCTCCGAGGAAGAGTTTCGTTCGATCCTCTCTGAACTCACGAAATATAATGAAATGAAACAAGATATTCGATCCAAGTCTAGTAAGTCTACTATAAGTGAGGATGAGAAAAAAAAGTACATAGAACAAGGGGTGAAAAAAGCCCGACAAGCCTTTATTACGAACACCAAAAATATAACAGACGATTTACGTTAAACTGTTTCGTCGAGGTCAACGTGACATAGTGTCATAAATAAAAGCAGAGGATACCGTATGACACAGTATTACCTCCTGTCAACACGACATAGAGTTAAGATACCAACGTCCGCTATAGTAGCGTCCCCGACTAAAGTCTTATTTTATGAAATATAGCTTTGTAGTAGATGGTAATGGGAAGGGTCTGACTAAGGCTTCATCTATTAAATGAAGCTTTAGATTACCCTGGTCCCGTACCCCTATCCTGTCTACTACTCCCTTTCCTTTTCGAATGGTAGTGGAACACTTGAATCCCTTGAAGTTCCCGAAGCGGACGTATAAATACACTCACCTACGAGTTACCTCCCTTTTGCCCTTTCCCGCGCAAAACAGTCAGGTGACCTGCCTTACTTGTCACTCTCTCCTGAATTTCTACCCATGCACTTGGATCTGCTGTGAAATGTGTCTTCAACGGGGGGTTGGGAGGGCTTCTCGTCATGAGTCAGGATAAGTATAAGAATATAAATTTTACTTAAGAAAATACATATTTTTACTTATAACACAAATACAAATATCGATTTTACCATATATGGTCTCTGATTTTACTTTAAAAATTACATAATTAGTGAATGTACAAATGTATAAAAACAAATTTATTTACTTACCTGTCTGCAGGGGACAGTAAAATAATTAGTCTATCACAAATTTACACTTAAAACCAGCATAAAACCATAAAACACAATTTCTATCTTTAACAATACAATATAAAATTGGGCTACAGGTCGCCAACAACTGGTAGATCACCACACTAGGGACCATGGGGATTTACAGTACCTTTGCTTCCTACATGGACCTGTCTAGAATTATAACAGCTGCTAGCAATTGTACATAATGTTAGCCATTAACCTAAAAAGTACAAATATTCTACGATTAAAAACGGAGGAAGATATGAATCTTCTGTGATTGAAGTGGGCTGACATACCCTCTCAAGGAGGTCTGCTGTATATGTTAAGGGTAAGGTATACATAAAGGAAACATGTTAAAGGGGTACGTTAAGTAGGACAGAGGGGGAACAACAAGGTTTAGCCTGGAAATAGTCTCCAAGGAGCCATATGAGATACTGTATCATTACATGGGGTCACCCTGTCTTTCCTAGGTACTTGTATAAATCATGTATCGGGCTCCAGTGTCGAACTCTGGGAGATAAGCAATGATGTGCATTGTGTCGAATGTGCCTTATCGTAGGTTTTGTAAACTGATACGATAATATCATCTGTTTATGGTGGTGTAAACTCACGTCTGTAGGAGGTCCAGGGGCTTCTTTTCCTTTATCCGTTTGCCGGTTTTGAAATCAATGTTTACTTTTATGCATCTGAAACATGAGATGCATTGTGTCCAGATTGTAAAAGATAAACACGGGACCACAACATTGAAACTTTAACATAAATATTTTCACTTAAATACTTACTTTAATGCAAGTAAAGTGTGAAGGTTCAATTTTATTTTTGAACAAGATTTGTGTGAGTGAGCTCGGTTCGAATCTGCTTCATAAAGTATTATAACTTACCTCGGAGTACAGTACAGGGTTCGTAGAATGGCCTCGTTGCCGATCTTTACCGACTGCCACTCGTCCTGAAACATGACACGATGGCTGACGGTCATACCACACAGTGATGGACGTCTGTTGGTCTGTATCAAAGTCTATCAGTCTATCATTCAAAGATGTCCGGTAGTAGGCATACCACACAGTGATGGACGTATGTCGGTCTGTATCAAGGCACTCAGTCTTTCATTCAAAGATGTCCGGTAGTTGGCATACCACACAGTGATAGACGTTTGTTGGTCTGTATCAAAAACACTCAGTCTATCATTCAAAGATGTCCGGTAGTAGGCATACCACACAGTGATGGACGTCTGTCGGTCTGTATCAAAGTCACTCAGTCTTTCATTCAAAGATGTCCGGTAGTTGGCATACCACACAGTGATGGACGTCTGTTGGTCTGTATCAAAGTCACTCAGTCTATCATTCAAAGATGTCCGGTAGTAGGCATACCACACTGTGATAGACGTTTGTTGGTCTGTATCAAAGACACTCAGTCTATCATTCAAAGATGTCCGGCAGTAGGCATACCACACAGTGATGGACGTCTGTCGGTCTGTATCAAAGTCACTCAGTCTATCATTCAAAGATGTCCGGTAGTAGGCATACCACACAGTGATGGACGTCTGTCGGTCTGTATCAAAGTCACTCAGTCTATCATTCAAAGATGTCCGGTAGTAGGCATACCACACAGTGATGGACGTCTGTCGGTCTGTATCAAAGTCACTCTGTCTATCATTCAAAGATGTCCGGTAGTAGGCATACCACACAGTGATCGACGTCTGTCGGTCTGTATCAAAGTCACTCAGTCTATCATTCAAAGATGTCCGGTAGTAGGCATACCACACAGTGATGGACGTCTGTCGGTCTGTATCAAAGTCACTCAGTCTATCATTCAAAGATGTCCGGCAGTAGGCATACCAATACAGTGATGGACGTCTGTCGGTCTGTATCAAAGTCACTCAGTCTATCATTCAAAGATGTCCGGTAGTAGGCATACCACACAGTGATGGACGTCTGTTGGTCTGTATCAAAGTCACTCAGTCTATCATTCAAAGATGTCCGGTAGTAGGCATACCACCACACAGTGATGGACGTCTGTTGGTCTGTATCAAAGTCACTCAGTCTATCATTCAAAGATGTCCGGTAGTAGGCATACCATCACAGTGATGGACGTCTGTTGGTCTGTATCAAAGTCACTCAGTCTATCATTCAAAGATGTCCGGTAGTAGGCATACCACACAGTGATGGACGTCTGTTGGTCTGTATCAAAGTCACTCAGTCTATCATTCAAAGATGTCCGGTAGTAGGCATACCACACAGTGATGGACGTCTGTCGGTCTGTATCAAAGTCACTCAGTCTATCATTCAAAGATGTCCGGTAGTAGGCATACCACACAGTGATGGACGTCTGTTTGGTCTGTATCAAAGTCACTCAGTCTATCATTCAAAGATGTCCGGTAGTAGGCATACCACACAGTGATGGACGTCTGTTGGTCTGTATCAAAGTCACTCAGTCTATCATTCAAAGATGTCCGGTAGTAGGCATACCACACAGTGATGGACGTCTGTCGGTCTGTATCAAAGTCACTCAGTCTATCATTCAAAGATGTCCGGTAGTAGGCATACCACACAGTGATGGACGTCTGTCGGTCTGTATCAAAGTCACTCAGTCTATCATTCAAAAGATGTCCGGTAGTAGGCATACCACACAGTGATGGACGTCTGTTGGTCTGTATCAAAGTCACTCAGTCTATCATTCAAAGATGTCCGGTAGTAGGCATACCACACAGTGATGGACGTCTGTTGGTCTGTATCAAAGTCACTCTGTCTATCATTCAAAGATGTCCGGTAGTAGGCATACCACACAGTGATGGACGTCTGTTGGTCTGTATCAAAGTCACTCAGTCTATCATTCAAAGATGTCCGGTAGTAGGCATACCACACAGTGATGGACGTCTGTTGGTCTGTATCAAAGTCACTCTGTCTATCATTCAAAGATGTCCGGTAGTAGGCATACCACACAGTGATGGACGTCTGTCGGTCTGTATCAAAGTCACTCAGTCTATCATTCAAAGATGTCCGGTAGTAGGCATACCACACAGTGATGGACGTCTGTTGGTCTGTATCAAAGTCACTCTGTCTATCATTCAAAGATGTCCGGTAGTCAGTAATTAAAGTATAAAACCCCTTCTGGGATGTTTGCAGGTATGTTTTAAAACTACTTCACTATTTTCAAGAATAGGACGATGTCAACCTATATGACTTGAAAGTGTCAAGAAAGAGGATCACTTTCACTTCCCCCTTTGGGGCGATGTCATAGGTGTGCCAGGAACCTGTAACTTTACTATCGATGTTTCCATCTGCAAGAGCCAGGGTAGATACGACACACTGAAACTCTGAGCTTACTTCGTCGTATGGTCTGCTTCCCTTCACTACAATGGTTGGTCTGAAGTGGTCGAGGGAGATGGGCTGCTGCAGCTGCTGGTTCACAGCGTCCTGGGACGTCTCCGACATCAGCAGGTAGGCGCAGAAGTCGCTGTACGCGGCCTGACAACAGCACGGAATTACATCGTAGTACAGTGTGACACTTACCCAACATCGTTAGTAGGGTCTTCTGTAGTGGAAACAGCTAGATCAGCTGACGGTAGGTATATCAGTACCAGATGATATTTGCTCATTCGCTTGATCGGTGTTTCATTATACAATATTCAATACAAATCCTATACCATACCCATACCAATGAACAATGTCAGTAGCGAATGTGATCAACATTTGCTTTGATTCAGGGTTTACAGCGGTGGCGCATTGAGGGCACACGCCAATTGAAACCAGTTTAATGGATGTTGTTAATTATGACAACCCTCGATTGGCCAGTTAACGTGGTTAGTTCTGATCCTGTTGTTGGCGTCGTTCCTTCTCACTGAAGACATGGATCTCAAGACATGATCTTGACCTACAGCCCGTTTTGGCAGAGGTACCATGTGGGCAAGCATGCTCCCGTAACCGGACATTACCTCTCTGTATTTGGACAAAGGGTAGAACATCATGTCGTATAAACAAACACCTATCAAACTGCCATTGGCAAAGGTGACTTGCCTTCTCCAATCAGTTGTTATGCCATCCCATAACATTATACACCCTAAACCGACGACGTTGGGTAACATAGCGTCACTAAAATATCTCCTTGACGCATAAAGACTCCTGAGCTGTCCAGGTCTTGACACCAAAGCTGTCCAGTTCTTACATGGACTCCCCGACAAACAACATACTGTCCCCATCTTGAACCTCAGATGTTGTTTAACACCAAGCAGGGCGTGTCTGACGGGAATTTCAGGCAAAACTTGCCTCATCTCTGAACGTCACGGCCGAATGTTGTGCCACCTAGACCGGGGCCGTAAGGCACACATGGTCTCGAATAAGGATTTGTCCGAGGTGTTAATGTGACAGTTTGGTATCGATTCCTTGGATGCACAAAGCAACTGATTGTGTTCTTATCCTGCTTCAGATAACGCCTCACATATACAACATATATTGTTTCGATGAACATATATTTCCATTGCGGCGTTCGTGTTGGAAGCATACCCATGACATTAGATAAGTGTTATTTACAGTGAAACTTTATCAGTATCTGCTAGCTGAACACTCAGATAGGGCAAACAACATATGGCATGTTATCCAATACCAACATGTCATCCCAACGTCAGCTGTTATCCACCACCCACACGATATCACCCAGTCCACTGTTATCCACCATCCACATGACATCAACCAGTCCCCTGTTATCCACCATCCACATGATATCACCCAGTCCCCTGTTATCCACCACCCACACGACATCACCCAGTCCCCTGTTATCCACCATCCACATGACATCACCCAGTCCCCTGTTATCCACCATCCACACGACATCAACCAGTCCCCTGTTATCCACCATCCATATGACATCACCCAGTCCCCTGTTATCCACCACCCACATGATATCACCCTGTCCCCTGTTATCCACCACCAACATGATATCGCCCAGTCCCCTGTTATCCACCACCCACACGACATCACCCAGTCCCTTGTTATCCACCACCCACACGACATCACCCAGTCCCCTGTTATCCACCACCCACATGACATCACCCAGTCCCTGTTATCTACCACACACACGACATCAACCAGTCCCCTGTTATCCACCATCACCCACATGATATCACCCAGTCCCCTGTTATCCACCACCAACATGATATCGCCCAGTCCCCTGTTATCCACCACCTACACGACATCACCCAGTCCCTTGTTATCCACCACCCACACGACATCACCCAGTCCCCTGTTATCCACCACCCACGCTGACATCACCCAGTCCTCTGTTATCTACCACACAATACTGACATCAACCAGTCCCTGTTATCCACCACCCACATGATATCACCCAGCCCTGTTATCTACCGCACACATGATATCACCCAGTCACCTATGATCTACCACACACATGATATCACCCAGTCCCCTGTTATCCACCACCCACATGATATCACCCAGTCCCCTGTTATCTACCACCCACATGATATCACCAAGTCCCCTGTTATCCACCACCCACATGACATTACCCAGTCCCCTGTTATCCATCACCCACATGACATCACCAAGTCCCCTGTTATCTACCACACACACGACATCAACCAGTCCCCTGTTATCCACCACCCACATGATATCACCCAGTCCCTGTTATCTACCGCACACATGATATCACCCAGTCCCCTGTTATCCACCACCCACATGACATCACCCAGTCACCTGTAATCCACCACCCACATGATATCACCCAGTCCCCTGTTATCCACCACCCACACACGACATCACCCAGTCCCTGTTATCCACAACCCACATGACATCACCCAGTCACCTGTTATCCACCACCCACACGACATCACCCAGTCCCCTGTTATCCACCACCCACATGACATCACCCAGTCCCTGTTATCCACCACCCACATGATATCACCCAGTCCCCTGTTATCTACCGCACACATGATATCACCCAGTCCCCTTTTATCCACCACCCACATGGCATCACCCAGTCACCTGTAATCCACCACCCACAGGATATCACCCAGTCCCCTGTTATCCACCACCCACACGACATCACCCAGTCCCCTGTTATCCACCATCCACACGACATCAACCAGTCCCCTGTTATCCACCATCCACATGACATCACCCAGTCCCCTGTTATCCACCACCCACATGATATCTCCCAGTCCCCTGTTATCCACCACCTACACGACATCACCCAGTCCCTTGTTATCCACCACCCACACGACATCACCCAGTCCCCTGTTATCCACCACCCACATGACATCACCCAGTCCCCTGTTATCTACCACACACACGACATCCACCAGTCCCCTGTTATCCACCACCCACATGATATCACCCAGTCCCCTGTTATCCACCACCAACATGATATCGCCCAGTCCCCTGTTATCCACCACCTACACGACATCACCCAGTCCCTTGTTATCCACCACCCACACGACATCACCCAGTCCCCTGTTATCCACCACCCACATGACATCACCCAGTCCTCTGTTATCTACCACACACACGACATCAACCAGTCCCCTGTTATCCACCACCCACATGATATCACCCAGTCCCCTGTTATCTACCGCACACATGATATCACCCAGTCACCTATGATCTACCACACACATGATATCACCCAGTCCCCTGTTATCCACCACCCACATGATATCACCCAGTCCCCTGTTATCTACCACCCACATGATATTACCAAGTCCCCTGTTATCCACCACCCACATGACATTACCCAGTCCCCTGTTATCCATCACCCACATAACATCACCAAGTCCCCTGTTATCTACCACACACACGACATCAACCAGTCCCCTGTTATCCACCACCCACATGATATCACCCAGTCCCCTGTTATCTACCGCAAACATGATTTCACCCAGTCCCCTGTTATCCACCACCCACATGACATCACCCAGTCACCTGTGATCTACCACACACATGATATCACCCAGTCCCCTCTTATCCACCACCCACATGATATCACCCAGTCCCCTGTTATCTACCACCCACATGATATCACCAAGTCCCCTGTTATCCACCACCCACATGACATTACCCAGTCTCCTGTTATCCATCACCCACATGACATCACCAAGTCCCCTGTTATCTACCACACACACGACATCAACCAGTCCCCTGTTATCCACCACCCACATGATATCACCCAGTCCCCTGTTATCTACCGCACACATGATATCACCCAGTCCCCTGTTATCCACCACCCACATGACATCACCCAGTCACCTGTAATCCACCACCCACATGATATCACCCAGTCCCCTGTTATCCACCACCCACACGACATCACCCAGTCCCCTGTTATCCACAACCCACATGACATCACCCAGTCCCCTGTTATCCACCACCCACACGACATCACCCAGTCCCCTGTTATCCACCACCCACATGACATCACCCAGTCCCCTGTTATCCACCACCCACATGATATCACCCAGTCCCCTGTTATCTACCGCACACATGATATCACCCAGTCCCCTTTTATCCACCACCCACATGGCATCACCCAGTCACCTGTAATCCACCACCCACATGATATCACCCAGTCCCCTGTTATCCACCACCCACACGACATCACCCAGTCCCCTGTTATCCACAACCCACATGACATCACCCAGTCCCCTGTTATCCACCACCCACATGACATCACCCAGTCCCCTGTTATCCACCACCCACATGACATTACCCAGTCCCCTGTTATCCATCACCCACATGACATCACCAAGTCCCCTGTTATCTACCACACACACGACATCAACCAGTCCCCTGTTATCCACCACCCACATGATATCACCCAGTCCCCTGTTATCTACCGCACACATGATATCACCCAGTCCCCTGTTATCCACCACCCACATGACATCACCCAGTCACCTGTAATCCACCACCCACATGATATCACCCATGTCCCCTGTTATCCACCACCCACACGACATCACCCAGTCCCCTGTTATCCACAACCCACATGACATCACCCAGTCCCCTGTTATCCACCACCCACACGACATCGCCCAGTCCCCTGTTATCCACCACCCACATGCCATCACCCAGTCCCCTGTTATCCACCACCCACATGATATCACCCAGTCCCCTGTTATCTACCGCACACATGATATCACCCAGTCCCCTTTTATCCACCACCCACATGGCATCACCCAGTCACCTGTAATCCACCACCCACATGATATCACCCAGTCCCCTGTTATCCACCACCCACATGACATCACCCAGTCCCCTGTTATCCACCACCCACCTGGTCGCCAGCTATAGCCGGACTACCCCAGGGTTTCTTCTCCTGTGTGATGTCCCTCTTCTGAAGCCCGGGGGCTGAGTGGAGCAGCCTGACCCCTTCCCTGGCCAGGTACTTGCTGAACCAGCTGGCTGCCTGGTCCCCACAGTCCAGACCCTCGAGCGTGGCCTTGCCGCTGCTGTAACAGTTAAACATGTACATTTCAACAGGAGCCTTAAACGTAACTAATGTAGCACACCGAATATTGGGAAGGTTGACGTCACATCCTGTTTGTGTCAAGTTTGTCACGTTGTATCAGTGGGTTCTATTTTATTTTAAAAAGCGTTTGTGGTAGGTGCATATTTCCTGTACTAGAACAAGATGTGTAATACAACCTATAACCATATCCATAACACCAGTACTACGTGGAAGACAATGGTTGCCGCACTGAGTCTTTCAGATGGTCGGGGGGATCGAATCTGAAGGTTGACATAAGGACGCTTATCTGGCATTAGTGTTGGTCGGTTTCATCAATGTAAATGTCTCCCTTCAACACCCCATATCCGGTTCCCAGGCCACAGTGGAGCGAATGGTGTGGAGTGACTGCTGACAGCAACACACCACCCCATCCACCACACCCGCCACCCCACCTACCCCAATACCCACCCGTAACCGTGATACGTGTGTACCAACACTTCAACGGTCGTACCTGCTGACAACATTGACAACTTTGCTGCTATCGACGACTGGCGACGTGGACAACGTGAGAGTCGGCATGTCCGGAGCGTCGACGATCAGCTGTCCATCCCTAAACGCGGTGCTGACCACGGCCAGAGTGGGCATCTGGCTGGAGGACAGCATGTTGTAGCTGGCGTCAGTCACCACCCAGTGTCTGGAATGAGACGCAGAGTCCGCTAAAACACAGGGACACTACCCACCTGGTGGAGGCAGAACGCTAATGTGTCCCTCACAATAATTGGTAATTACACCTGATACAGCAGCTGAACAGTACCCACGTTCTCCTATCTCACACAGGTTACCTGGCACTGCCCCGGCTTATTGTCCATACCAATACTGACCGGCCGCTATACAGCAACAAATACCACTGTTGGAAAGAGAGCACGCCTACATTGTCCTAGTCTCTCTCATAGTCCCTGAACCACATTATTTTCCCTACAGCCTAGCCTTCCCTGTAGTGCTAAAGCCCTAAACGAAGCAAGTCTAGATTTCCCCAGGTTCTGAATCTCTGGTCTCCCTAGGGCTCCTTTTCAATTTGTTCAGTTTGTTACTATCAAAATTATATATATTCAGAGACTAAGCCTTAGTCTAACATTGTCCCTGCCAGATTATTTAAGGACACGTTGGTCAAACCCAGCCCGTTGATACACGATACAGCATATATATTTTCATCTGTGAAATGTGCAGCAATGTTTAGATACTTTTCAATGATTAACCGAATTTATAATGTGTAAAGTTATGTCTAGGTAACATATGGGACACGTGGAGACACCTTGTCGTGTTGTCTTACTACGGACATGAACTATATGGCGGCCCCAGAAGAGTGAGTGAGGTAGGACCATCTGGTCAGCTGCACATGTCGAACAAGCTGTATCAGTCCAGTAGGGATACACACATACGGCTTCCGTTCCACTACTGCACACTATATAATACGTATCGCACCATTCCTAAAATGCTGGTGTCATCGGGCAACTTGCAATATGGGTCATATCCAAAGGAATGAAGAAGGATTTTACGAACGCTTTATCAATCGTATCGCTGAAACCAGTATACCTGTATCCATGTTCCTTATACCAATATATATATTATATTCCCTCCACTGCTTACATTAAATGCAATCTAGAACGGGCAACTTAACAGCATTCGGTTACCTTTAGTATCCATTACCTTTACTTTAAATTATACATGACCTAAATTTGCTAAGCATATACATAAATATTGTTCCTAAGCCAACCCCTATTGCTTCCGTGGTGCTGCTATTCCTATACAGCAAACACATGGTAACATCTCTAAAGGTAGATACACCTCACAGTAATAAATGATCTTCAGCATATATATCCGAGGTACATTAATCAAACATGTGATGAAGATTGATTCCTCTGAGACTGTAGTGAAAATGATATTTTGCTGAAACTGTCTTCCAAACAGGCCCACGTGGCCTCATTCATAACGCTTCCCTCACCTGTCTATAACACTGCCTGCAACCTGAAGACCTAGATTTGTACAGTATCCGCTCTCCACTGTGAAACCTCTGCAGGACTTGATCGGGTAGCATGTTAAACTTGCCACCTCCCCCACCAACTCATATTCTCTCCTCCTTGAACCCACGATCGCTGACAATATGTATTTGATCACCACCCCTCCTGCCAGAGTCAGGAAGACAGCGGCTGGTTCTATGTCCACGCCTGCCATGTTGGGAGTGGGGTCTATTTGTTTGGTGTGGCCTACATATGCTACTCCTGCATCACTTCCCCTGGGTTGTGGGTTACTATGTCACAGTACATGTGACGATTCTGGTTTAATATAAATATGATTTATGAAACTCTATGAGATATAGGAGAGATACGTTGGATCCGTGACATCAGGAAACGTGGTGTGTTGTTATGTAATGGGATCTGTATCTGTGAAATGGTGTACTGCCCGTCAGGTTTCTATATGAAATCGATGTGACTGCTGATAATCAGTAATGTTAACAGAAATCGTTAATTAAATCCAATCTGAAATATACGGTGACAACATGAAATAGATAAAGGCAACATTAGGATAAACAACACGTGTCTCGCACCTGTCACTGGACATTCCGCCGCGGTATACATGTAGTTGTAACTGTTCTGTAAGAAGTCTGTTGTCACACTGGGGTTTTATGGGTACTGGTATATTGCTTTTCAAGACTTGTATACAATTGTTTGTTTTTTCCGTTTTGGTATATATGTTTTACACCATACAAAAAAAACCAAAATTTCGTATATGTGTTAGAAGATTTGTCACATTAAACAGAGAGACACCCTGAATAACCTACCGCTCATATTCCGCGGGATTACACCGGTGTGGATGAACACAATGGGGGGGGGGGGGGAGAGATAAAATAGATAACAGTGGAACTAATAAAACAAATACTGCATTCGAAAGGGTATTTTGTTTCTGCCAAACGCGTTAACCTAACATTCTGAATAACTTCAATCGATACGGTACGTGTGAGAGTCTTGCTGTTAGGTCAGAGGGAACACTTTGGCTGTAGGGAACTGTCCAGAAAATGTATGAAATTCTATCTTGTCTTCAACCTTGTCTGTAACAAAAATCCGTAAAACATGTTAGAGAGATAGTCACAACAATGAGCTGGAGACACTGAAACAGTCTGTACGGGCGGGATGTTGCCTGACCTTCACCTTGCCTGCAGACCTCGGCCTCAAAAACAACGGGTTATTCTGTATGTGTCTGTACAGCTGCCGTTTATGGAAGCCTAGCAGTGCCACAGTCTAAACAATTTCATTATCTATGCTGTTGATACTTACATCTACGCATTCGATACTTACTTCTACACAGTTGATACTTATATCTAACCACTTGATACTTACTTATAAATAGTTGATGCCTACAACTGAATAGTGTATACTTACACAACTCTCAAACCGGGAACAGCCCCTGGTATTGAACACGTCTGCAATGAACACATCCTCTGTGGTGGTGATACATTAGTCTCCTGTTAATTAGTCCGATTCTTCAACACTTTCATCGAACTGAAACATGTGCCCAGACTTCTCAAACGTGGGTTCGTTATAACTCTGTTCAAGGGGAACGGACTGACCCAAACAGCTACCGAGCAATTACTCTTCTCTCATGGATCTACAAACTCTTTGAACGAGTATTACTTGGTAGAGTCCATGAGAAATTAACTCCCTCACCCTTACAGCATGGCTTCCAGAAAGGTGTAGACTGAACCATGACGGCCGTCCTTCTCAAGGAGTGTATCTTTTACAGTACGGAAGAAAACAGTAAACTGTTTGCTTGCTTCCTTGATGCAGAGAAAGCCTTTGATTGTGTCTGGCATTCAGGTTTATTCTACAAATTATGAAAGCTCGGTATCAAGAACTCTTATGTACAGACGATCTCATCCATGTATAGCGGAATGGACAGCTGTGTTTTATATCAAGGCTATCTCAGTAAATGGTTCTGCAACAGACAAGGTACGCAACAAGAAGGCGTGTTATATCCATGGATCTACACAGTCTTCATCAACGATCTGCTCATTCAGCTCACAGATTCGGGATATGGCCTATCACTACATGGTATATCCTGGTATACACAGACTGACGACATTACACTCCTATCAGTAACTAGGAATGGCCTACAGGCTCTCATGGATATCTGCTACGCATATAGCTGCAAGTGGAGGTTCAAGTTTAGCGCCAAGAAAAGTACTGTTGTCGTTTTCAACGAGAACACGAAGTCATACGAACACTCAGAGCGCACATGGTTTCTTGGTGCTGACTCTACGGATCTGAGTCTGTACAACCTCTCCCGGCAACACACACTCCAGCTAGATGTCAAGGAAGACAGCAGCTATACGCATTTGGGAATCAAGGTCAACAAGACATCCGACATCACACAGCAGATCAACGATATCTGCAGAAACCTAAAGCAACATATTGTAGCACAACAAACATTGGAGCCTTTGATGGTGAAATGCATCCTTTAACCTCTGCTATTGTGTATAAATCTGTTGTTCTCCAACGTGGCCTCTACGGATCTGAGTCTGTACAACCTCTCCCGGCAACACACACTCCAGCTAGAACACGCACACAGATTTTGTCTGGAGCTGATTCAAGGACTGATGTTGTTTTGTCCACGATTGGAATCCTATCCATCCCTTCTTTGATCGCCATCAGAAAGATGAGTTTGCGAGAAAGAATAATCAACTGTACAGTAAACTGCACAGCAAGATCCGTCCTCCTCTTCAGACTATACAAATTATTCCTGTTAAGCCATAAACCTTTCCTTGATTTCATTCCTGAAGTCTCCAAGCTTCTGGTGTTTTATGATTGCTCTGAATATGTCAAAAACGGCAGCTTAACTACATTTCCCGTCAACCAGACGTGGAAAACAGTTGTGAAAAGCAAAGTTACTGAGTTTGAAACCACACTGCTGAAGCCGAGGATCTCAAACGATGTAGAACTCTCCCTGTTCCATCATCTGCATCAATCTCACAAACCTTCCAAGCTCTGGACTCTGGGACGACAGGTCCCTCATCTACAGCGTGCACTCAAAGGTGTTGTGAATGTGATTGCTACACCAGTTAGATCAGGTAACTGCCAGCTATGCTCGGCAGACTATAAGTGCGTGCCTCGTCATCTGTTGCATGAATGCCCTGACCAGCGTGTTTGTGACAACCGAGAGACTCTGTGGCTCTCCATCCTGGACACGTTTGGCGTAGACGTGTATGTCATGTTGGACTCCATGGAACTGGATGAACAAACAGGAACTCTTCTTGGGGGACACTCCTTCGATATCGAGGATCATAAACTGCTAGACCCTGTGGGACTATTCTTCCTCTCCAGTGGACTCACTTGCCATTAACATTTTAACTAACTCTTCCCTACTGCACAGCTGCAAATCTCCAAGTTTGGAGGAGCTAAAGACACTCACTCAATCATCCTGTTAGAAGTTAGTTGTTCAGTTCAGTAAGCCTATACACTGAAACACGTGCCATTTGTTAAAAGTTTCACCGCTGTCATAAAGGGGGCCTTTGTGCCAGTTCGCTACAAGAATTAACGCAACGAAGTTCAGTTACTGTGCAGATACCGAGTATATCAAATTCAGTATGGAAATTATGTTAATGCATGGCAGTCAAACAATGGGTGTAGGTGTGAAACAGGGAATGAAATATAACCAGTTTTGTTCATTTTGTTATTAACATGCCAGGGACGAATAAACGCTTTTGGGAAATTGTTTTATTGTACCACAAATGACCGCATCCCGCATTTGAAAACTTCCTGATGTTCTAACATCGTGATACTTGGAAGTCACAAAAGAGTGAAAAAATGTGAAGTTTGTATAAAAATCATTGTCATCACCAGAGAGATTTGAACATGCAAAGTCTTACCATGTAACCGACGCCAGTTTACCTTAGAGTATGTATCAGGAGTTACCTCCCTTCCACCAGTCCTGTGGCTTAAATTCGTCTCAAGCATGGGCTACGGCAAGCATGGGCTACTGAAGATCAATTCTAACCCGGATCTTCACGGGATAATAGTTAATTATATATAAATGATGAAAGGTTTTACTAAGAAAATCACTAAAACACCAGTTTTAACATAATATACATGTTCATATAATACTGGAGACATGGAAGTGGTGATTAGATAATGTCAGATAAAACAAACATTGTAGAAGCCTACCTGCACAATAAAGTATTAATGTTGCTTCGTATCAATGTTACGGCTTGTTGATGTAACCAGGTAACCATGTAACAATGCGTCCATGTAACCACGTATACAAATAACAGCGTGTGGTGTGACGACGTTGTTTCAGGATGTTTCAGGACGTTGATGTACGGTTCTGACGTCACTTCTGTTTCAAAGATTCTGTCATTTTTGCTAAAGTGTTTTGGTTTTTTTCTTAAAATATATATTCCACAATCTGTGCATGTCTGTGACAGGCCCGCCATACAGCTGGAAGACTAAGATTAGTATTGCTGAGTGCGGCGGTAAACCAAGAATCAAACATATCTGTGAAATGATGCGTTCGCCCAGCTTCAGGTACACTGTGCGGCGTAGTTGACTGAAGCGGACGTAATATACCCACTGCCGTTGCAATCTGCCGGCACATGATTTCAAGAGCCAATCCGCCCTACTCTTCTATTGCACAATAAAATACACCTGTTGAATAACATTTCGGAGGACCCCGCTTTTCCTATGGGAGGATCCAGGGTCCTAGACTATTCATAGCGTCACATTACCTACAGACCCTGAAGGGTTAACTCCAGAGCGTAGAACCCTTTTCCCCACAACAACTTCACAACAACAAAAATCAAAAGAAACAAAGAAATAAGGAAAATAACGCCTTGTACCTATATGGGTACCCTGCCCTTCGGCCCTTCGGCGTGACGAGCGAACGCTTGAACCACTCGGCTACCTCACCATGAGCAGAAGAACATGCACCGAGGAGCACGTGACGAAGTCTGATGACAATGTGTAAGGTCACGGATGTCACTCGTAACTGATTATGGATGACACGTGTACTTACACTGTCGTAGTTTAAAAGAGAAGTGCCACATTCTAACTACATCTTCATACTCTTGAAGAAGGAAAGGGAAATAATAATTGGTAGGCGTTGACAGGTAAATATTTCTAAACCTATGTCCACATAGTGCACTGAAGATAAGTGTCCCGGGATGGACAGACATGTTCTAAATG